ATGTGAATATGACTGAAAATTTTCATTTTTTCTGAAAAGGTGGTGTCTATTTACTTGTGACCACGCTGTGTACAAAGATATTACCAGATGTACTTCCGCACGGTCCCCAAAGTGTTCTGTTTCAAGCGTAAATAAAACCAAAATTAAGACTAACAAATATTTTTATTTCTTGCTTTTGAAGTTCATAGGTCATGCTATCTATAGAGTGCATAATTCTTCTCGTGATTCATGGCATCTGCACGTTTTACTGACGTCACGACAGTACAAATTGCAACGTTAATCGTCCTTTATGTGACGTCATTTTAGTGTCTAATGACTGAGTGACAGACAACACACTACTGTATAGTGGTGCGAGTGGTAAATACAGGTGATTCCTTCGGGGAAAATATGGAAAACAATATAAACAAACTGATTACGCAGTTGGTGTAATTCCTGTATCTACTGCTGAATGTGAACGTAGATTTAATGCCATAGACTTTAAACTATGAACTCCCTCTTGTTTATTTGTTTTAGGGGTCTTCCTTTTGATGTCTTCTTCCATGCTGATAACTACGCAGGCATTTGGATCACAGAAGGTAATATTTCTGCAGTGGACAGCCCAACAGAATTATTTTTTTTTTTGCTAGATCTGTATAGCAAATTTCGCATTATCTAGAACAGTGGCGCAAAAGATCGTGGTTACTAAAAATACTGACACTCATTGTAAAGTAATCGCACGTTATAAAAAAAAAAACCGGAGGCTGTCTTATCTTCAGCCACTACTCATCTTAGAGCAACTTGAACTTTATTTCTTTATGGCATATTCGGTTGTACATAATTCCTCGTTGTTTGAAATCAAAAAGATGAAATTCCTTGAAATACCTACTTTGTAGTCGTGGTTGATCATTCACATTCCTGCCTGTCCAACCACCATTGCGTTTATATATAGGGTCACGTGAATAATACTTATATTTATATATACTTCACTCTAAATGGCAGCACGCCATAACTGATGATATACAGTGTGTCCGTCTTACCTCACTATTTTCTATACTTCTAGATTTTTTAGAATAAAACTGTGTTTAGTGGTGCTGTGTTTTTGTATGTTTATTTTAAAAGAATTACTATGCTTAAAAAAGTTAAGTTAGTTTTTCATTTGCAAGTTGCAGCTCAAAACAGGATTTATTTATGCTCCCCCTCGGTAAATCTGAAGGGTTTAAAATGCTAAAAACCGCGTTTTAATACTCGTGGTGGGCTCAGTATAGATATGTCCATTGTGAAGCTTTATGCTTAACAACAGACAAACAAATAAAATTTATGTTGTTATATATTTTGAAGATTTGTAATATTTTATAAATAAAAAATTGTATATTTTTAATGGATAATATTACTAAAGTGCACAGGTTTATATTCAGATTTCCACTGAATTTGTTGACCAACAAACTAATCATCCCAATGTGACCCACCCTACAGTTATTCAGTAAGCAAGCCAAGTATTAGAAAAGACAAATTTTAAGCTTACACATACAAACGTGGGTAAACAATCCTAAGAGCAAGGCTAGTGTTGTTCATGGCTGGATACATCTTGTTCCTCTGATACTTGTTAATAAATACAGAAACGCTTTCGAACATTGGGATAATGCTATCAAAACTTTATATAAATACAGAATTGATATTTATAAAGTTGTTATGAACAAAAATATATTAATATTCTAAGTCATGATGAGGTTTAATTGCCACAAAGTATTGTCCTAGTTAAAACGGTGACAGTTTTTAGTGAGACAAATCCGTATGAGGATGTTTTATTTTAAATGAGTTAAGGATCTCGAGAATTACCGCTGTTTTCGTTTATCTGAAGCTGAGTAATGACATAAATTTTAGCCACTCAAACTTAAATAAAGATCTGGGTAATTTTTAGCACAATCTGCCATATATGTTGCTACTCCTTTTACTTCCTGGAATTTGTTGTTACTTTATAGGTAGAGTATGACAACTTAAATAAAGATCTGGGTAATTTGTAGCACAATCTGCCATATATGTTGCTACTCCTTTTACTTCCTGGAATTTTTTGTTACTTTATAGGTAGAGTATGACAACTTAAATAAAGATCTGGGTAATTTTTAGCACAATCTGCCATATATGTTGCTACTCCTTTTACTTCCTGGAATTTGTTGTTACTTTATAGGTAGAGTATGACGTGGGAAGGTGTCTACTTACGGCTTTAAACAGAAGTGTTGTTTACCAAACCTCTTGCACACTAGGCCGTCACAACAAGGTAATCTCGTGATCATTCCGTAGGGAAGTCGTGTAAACCCACACACGGTGTTTCCTGTTGCACAGGAGAATCTCTGATAAAAAAAAAAGATTTATTGAAAACCAAAGATTTAGAATGGAAAATTCTGTACCTATAAGGTTTCGTCCAATTTCCTAGTTTATAGAGGAACGAGAATGATAATAAGCAATGAAGACTGCGACTTCCGCTGTTGTTAATTAAAATTCAATCTGACGATCCTACATCACTTACCTATAAAATTCTATATAGACCTGTGTCTATTTACTCCAGCACGAACTAAGTTGGTTCATTTTTCTTTCGTACTTCGCAAGTTTTTTCACAATTCGGATTATTTTTAGTCATCTTAAATCATCTTCTCTCACCTTTCGCCATCTTTTTACAAGCTGAAGATTTACGAAACGAATAGCAAAATATTAAATTTTATGAAGTAAACTATTATTTAGGGAACTTTCACACGATATTTGGATACCATATTTTAAACATACCCAAAATTACTACTGAATGTTATTTTCTAACCTGTCTAAATTAGAAAAATTATATCTAACGTAAAACATCATTTTTAATGAATGGCAAAGTACCGCCTACGTAAAAATGTATTATTGAGTTTTAAACTTCATCTCCAGATGTTGATTGCATCCTTTTAGTACGTCGCTGCAAATGGACTTTCGTTATGACCGTACCAAACTCTTTTAGAAATAAAGTGGAACAAATCAAATTTACTTAGAAAATAAGTTCAAGTAGCTGTTTTGTGCTAGTGACATATGTCTCAGACGTCATCTGATAGATAATCAATGGGAAGGCTTTCACATAACATTCAAGTATCAGAACCAAAGAAGGGGAGATAAATGTGGCAAGTTCTAGGCAAATGAACGTTTTGTGTGTGTATATAATTAATTATTTTCAATGTTCATTTTTATTTGACTGGATTTGTGAATTTGTTGATGTTTTAAAATACTGTAAAATTATATAAATAAATCAGATTTTTATTTGGTTTTATTGAGATGTGTTAAAATGCATTAAAAATACAGTACTAATATTTAAGAGTTGTTATTACACAACAAAAATTTGTATTTTCTGTCTTGGGATATGTATATGTGATAGATTTTATTAAATTTTCATCAGTTAATTTTTTTTATTCAGTTGTTAATTTTGTTTCTATTTTTTTCTAGTAAATATAATGTTATATATAATTGAACTATCAGTACACAGATCTAAGATATGGCGATTTCATATCAAAATAAATACCTGATCATTTTCTAGTTGTTTAACGTTTATACATTATTCATAATCATATAAAAAGTAAAGCGTCTGGGAAGAAAGTAAAATTTAAAAATTAAACTTTGTGAAAAAGAGCAGACAGTTTAAAAAAAAATAGAATAACTTTGCGCGAAAGGAAGTGTTAAAAACAAACGTGTATGGGAAATTTCGTGAAAAGTAAACGCGTTACGCTGTGTAAAAACAAACATTGTGTAAGAAAGATTTTAATTTAACAGATAGTTAAAGTTTTAATAATATATTCTATGTTATTCGTTTTGAAGTTATACTTAAAATTATGAATAATGTAACTTCACAACCGTCAGCATTTACTTCTGAATGTGATGATCCGTGTTTGGCATGAAAGAAAAAGTTAATGTTAATTTTCATGCTGTTGGAAGGGTAAGATCGTTCAACGAGTAGCAATCAAAATCGATTGATATCTCAATAGCTTATGAAGTGCCAACGATTTATATATATGGTAGTAAAAGAAGTTAACTGTGAATACAAACTAGAGTGTGTGCTCAGATAACACGTATATTATAAACCCTGAATTTATGATTTAATCAAAATACTTAAAATGTGGTAACGAAGTTTCACATCATCAGATCCAGTAGTAAGTTTCACTTTTAATTGCTGTATTGTTTAGACTTGAATCTAAACAAAGCAAAACTAGCACAGAAACTGATTTTGATATTTTCGAAATTCACTTTGAGGGGGGGGTCGATTGTTATTTTTGATGTAAACTTAGCGAAAAAATTAAATGTTTCGGTGCAAGTGGTATTTGAATAACAAACGAAGTTTACAGAAATGTTTTATCCAAAGGAACAATAAATGAGCTTCAATAACAACCGAATCACCATCTACATCTGACACAACATCTGCTTCGGCTATCGAAGAGGAAGAAGCTTTCTTCTTTTCTATTCTAGTTTTATTTCTATATTTTTAGATGTACGTCTTCTTCCTCTTTTCTTTGATAGCTTTCTTTTAATGAAGATCTCATCACTGTCAAATATACTTCGACTGCATTTGAAAACTTTTCCACTTTGCAGTTCCGTATAATAGGAGGCATATGATCATATTCTCATGTTTCCATTGTGCTCTACGTTGGATTTCTATATCTTAGAAGAAATAACACAGAAAAAAGCAGTTTACTTTTGACTAGAAAACGGAAAATACTGTTTAAAGAAAAGGCAAAGAATAGTGAATAATTCTCCGTGTAAAAAAATGTATTGACGTTTCGTCTTCACAGAAGACGAAGCCCTTATACACAATTATTGCTTTAGCATAAGGTTAATAAATTCGAAAGTTTCTACGAATGTTTTATACTCCACATTTATCACCACCAATGGAAACATGGTTAAGTCGCGAATTTAAGGTTAAAAATCATATATGTATATAAAAGTTCTACTTTACCGAAAAATCTTTCTTAAGATTACGGAAATATAGGGGGCTCCACTTGTAGACAGGTTTGTCATCATTATAGGAAAGAGCAGGAGCATTGAATAAATACACCAGGCACATAATAATACCAATCTGCGTCACGTTGTTAACCATGTTTTTTTGAAACCTGGCGAGAAATACCAAAAACTGATTTATTAAAAAAGCACCATTACTTGCTGGTTTTAATGAAATACTTTTTCATTAGATGTAAAAAATTTGAAAAGAAAATTAAAATTATTTTAGAAATTGACAAATGACAAAAATGATACTTGTTAATAAACGAGATAAAATTCATTTTAAATATATATTTATATAATTTTTAAAGAAGACAGTTAAGAACTTATCCAATTTAAAATACACACTTCGACTGTGATTGAGCTTGTGCCCCAGATAAAGATGTAAAGTGCGCTACACATTAAAACTAGTGTTTCCTGAGTCTATAAGGTTGTTTTTATTTTTTTATATTTTCTTATTTTATAGTATTTCATATTATTTAAATATTTCTTTATAGTAGGTGTGAACGGTCGTGTATGTATACTTTGTTTCTCCTTCGATATCATTATTTTTTACTTTATGGTGTTTTTTTCATTTCTCAATTACCTATATTATTATTTGCTTCGCATATTTGTTTCCTTTTGTAAAGTTTAAGTATATCGCTTTCTTCTGACAGAACGCTGAGTAAGTAAGTTACAGTTATAACTGGTACCACGTGCTTGTGATCTACCCTTTATTTCGTTTGATACACTTCAGCTATTTAACGGTAGAAGATAATCCATCCTAAAAAAAGGTATAAATCTCTTCAACATGTCTCAAATTAATGTTTCCTTCATGACATCATATCAAATTGCTAATACACTTCGACGTGTAATGATAAAATAAAATCACTTAAAAATCCAGTAGAATTTGGTGTAACAAAGAAAAAAAATATCCTCAAAGCAATGTTTTTCCAGTTTGTACAGATGGAAAATTGAATTCAAAATTTGGATGACAGATAATACTAAGTTCGCGATTTTGATGGAGAGAAACGAGAAAAACGTGATATTCTATTTATTTCTATGGCTCTTGAAAAGTTTCTCGAAAGTAAGTAACAATAAAATGTTCTCTTTCAATCATGTCATTCAGTCATTTGTTCGTGTCAGGCTAAGACATCGTTCTTACAATTTACCCCGAAAGGAAAACTTTTCTATAAAGGTCCACATGTCAGACTGAGTATCACAAAAGTAAACAAAACGAAAAGAACAAGACTGAAAATCAGCTTTACTTGACACTTACTAAGATCTTTTTTTTTACCTGACCATAATAAAAATTTCCCAAGAAAAGTTAACAGTGTTTGTCGCTACATATTGAACAGAGAATTCCATCATATTACGTTTATCATTGAACAAAAGTTGATTCGTTTATATAAAAAGAAACAGAAATGTATACACACATTTAACAAAAAAAAAAAGAAAAACCAAGTAAGATTCAAAGAAGGTGACATATGGCTCTGGATGAAAATATTTTATTTTCATTTTTCGCTAGAGCGTTTTCACAGAATAACATTCAATAAACTGAAAAGTGAACCTACAAAAATGCGTGCAGAAAGAAATTACGCATTAGAATAGTGTGTTATTTTACCAATTATGTCATTTTAAATCTCCGCTCAGTTATCTGTTAATTAGGTGGATGATGCAAAGACAAGACAATCTAAAATTTCACTGCGTTCAATATCAGATGTTTTCTTCTAGCCTGTTAATTCAAAATGATGGATGGCTGTGTACATATAACCCTTGTGTAGCTTTGCACAAAATTCTAAAATAAAGAAATAAATATTAAAGCTAATGAATGTTAAAGTGAATAATTAGCAGTGAAATCTGAATACGAGGTAGAAGTCTTAATTAGTGTAATTTGTAAAATAAATGAAAGCTACAATCTGGCATAACTTGTAAGACAAACAGGCTCTTCAGGCGGTATGTCCGCGGATTTACAACGCTAGAAACCGGGTTTCGATACCCGTGGTGGGCAGAGCACAGATAGCCCATTGTGTAGCTTTGTGCTTATTTCCAAACAAAAAAAATCTTTTCTCTCTCTCTCTTATATGATAATTTTTTCCTCTGTATTTCATGTATTTTTTATTTATTTATTTATCATTAAGCAAAAAATTACAAAATGGGCTATCTGTTTTGTGCCTACAACAGGTATCGAAACCCGGATTTTAGCGCTATACGCCCTCAGACTTCACACTGAGCCATTGGGAGAATTTTTTAATGTTAAAGGGTATTTTGATTTGAGTTTAAAAGTTTACACATTCTTTGTGTCATAGCATTTGGTGTTGGATAGAATAGGTTATGATTCTATTGCACAAGTTTGGGTTGTAGTTTACATTTTTATTTTATTTTAAAATTTAGAAAATAAGGAAGGCCAGGATATTTAAGTAATGGGAAATTTGTGGTACAAATATTTGCTAAACTAAACCCTTATATATCATAATATGTCCATTCATACATCTTTTCAAAACCTCGGTTCAAGATCCAGTATTTTATGTTCTATACGAACAGGATGTGCCTAGCCTTGAACTACGCTAATATTGCGCTTATCAGTTGTCTCACACATACTTAAGATGGGCCGAAGAGTTTTCTGCTGGATATTTTATTAAGTTAGTCTTTATGTGTTTTATGGGATGATGTCTATATGTGGAGAAAGAGAGAAAGAAGTCATAAACTTGGTTTTCTTTTTTTATATATAATGGGGTTTACCTGATGACGGGGCATTTTGTGAAGTCCTAGTGACTGATTAGCCTAGAATTGTGTATAACCTTAAACAAATATCGTTTGTTGTAACTTAAACAACTACTAATTTCACTCTTCTATAATTAGAAGATATCTTTATTCAGGTATATTTAAGTAATTTTTCTAAATTTCCAAGTAGTTTTTGCATGTAGTAATTTGTAGTTAATCGCATCTGTAGTGTCTGGATATCGCGAGGTCGTAAATATGCGTTAATTATTCTGTACGGGTAAAGATTATATTATGCAGTCACTGTTTTTAGTCTAAAGCTAGCATGTACATGTTCCTGCATGGAATTCTAGAAAGGTATTCTATTCAAATAAATGATACAGAAACCTGCACAGTTGACTTGAAATGGCCTATAATTGTATGTAAACCACCGATTGAAGTATGTACCTCGTATACTTGTGGGATACCTTACTAAGATTTTGGTCGCAGTATGAAAGTGGGATGTTTCCATAGTTCTATTTCTCCCGTTTCATTCCCTTGCTGTCGAATCACTCATTCTCAACCCCCACAACCATACAATACTTACACAGGCTAGAAGATAGCCATCAATCTGGTAACATTATAAACATTTATGTGAATAAAGATTTTGCTTGTTTGTTCACTTGTTTTTCCTTTGTTTTCTTTGTTGATCTTATTCTTCGCATAGTAAAGCGTTCAATAACGCATTAAGCCTAAGATGGAAATAACAATATATTTGTGCTTATGAAATTAAACTTCAAAACGATGTTATTTTGGGAAATAGTAAAAAACTGAAACGTGACAATTTTGGTATTTTTCTTTTTTCTTACCTATCTTCTCCTTTCAATCCTGTAATCAGATCTGTTTCTAAGCAGTAGCAGTTGTTGCATTTACCTCAAATGTTCAACTAATCTAAACCTACACTGTTTGAGCCGATTAAGGGATTTTCATTGATCACCAGACGCCGTTAGGGAGGATTATATAAAGTTTCACGTATAGAGTGTAATATTTTTTTTTTCCTGACAGAAAATCCGTGACAATGCACGAAGCAAACAACTACTTTATATCTTGTAGATAAAGATATTTTACACTCTTTCTGTACGGTTAGTTTCATTAACAGCCGTATTGGTTCAAAAGTTTAACATATAAATATAATAATTTTATTTTTTTGTAGATTTTTATTAATTAAGAGGGGTTACTTTAAAATTAGGACTAACCTCAACCTCGTGAGATATTATTGGAATCACAACAAAAAATGTCGATTTCAGCGAGGTTTCCCATATAACGAATCACTATATTTTAATAATTATAAGTTTTTGTTTTATGATATTGCATAATCCTAGTTATACCGGGATATTAAACCATTATCATTATTTATTTGGTTAATTTTTAGTTATGTTCTTTGTAGATAGTTTCTTATCATCAAGAGTTACTGATAATTTGGTGCTGAATACTTATTCGTAAGTCTGAATATGTTATAACTCAAAGTTTGGTATACCGGCAATTAAGCACCTTGTTCGAGCGGCAAAACGTATTATACAATCTGCGAGCAGAACATATTTTATCACAACCTTAAAAAAAGATATATTAAAATTTTAGCCACTTCGAAAGCTATATTATTGAAATCATATAGCAACACTTTCGAAAACGAACTTAATTGGTGTAGTTTTTAAACTGGTTATCTAAGCAGTTAACAATTTTATAATCATAAACTAAAATTGAAAACAGTTTTAACTGCTGGCCTAAGATACCGGTTTGATAATCAAGATTTATTTTATAAGCAGTAATTTCCGTTCTTCGTCTACTTTCCAGATTACCGAATTTTGAAATCTTAATTTGTTTTAGAAGCTAAATACGCTACCGTCTTCTCGCAGGCTCTACGGACGGATAATACAGTCCTGCGATGGTTTTATTGTCATGAAATTTTTACATGTTCTACAGTAATTCCGGTACGCTGAATCCGAAGACGATATCCCTTTTTCTCCATCAAGTACAGATTTTTCACAAAACGTCATATGTACTTTTACATAACTGAATCATTTTCATTGAAATCGGGTCACATTTTGTTATGCTTAAAATACTGACAACCACTGGCTATAGATTTCTCTATACCAATCACGACGTGAAAGTCTTATTGATCGTTTTAGTTTGTTTGTTTGTTTTGAAAATCGCGCAAAGCTTCACGGCGGCTATCTGCGCTAGCCACCCCTAATTTAGTACTGTAAAACTAGAGGGAAGGCAGCTAGTCATCACCACCCACCGCCAACTCTTGGGCTACTCTTTTACCAACGAATAGTGGGATTGACCGTCACATTATAACGACCCACGACTGAAAGGGCGAGCATGTTTGGTGGGACGGGGATTCGAACCTGCAAATTGGGAGTCGAGCTCCCTA